TGGCAAAACCAAACCATTTACTAAAGAGTAGTTCCAGTGGGATGATTTAAAAAGGCTTTTGAAGTGGCTGATTCCCTCTACTTTATTTCTAATATTAGTAAATGATCCATATCTCTCATGTCAAGCATTCCTGTGAATGTATAAAATCCAAGTGAACCTCAAAAAAAGACCAGAAAAAAAGAAAGTAATTCCAGGAAATGATTTCCACTACTTTACAAATCACTTTTTATAATAAATATATTCAAATGTAATGCATCACAAAAATCCAGTTCTACAAACTGAAGGATGTTTCAAGTTTTGCCAAGCTAAGGTAAATATTCACTGATGAATGAACATGTTGAGATATGTTTCATTTCAGGTACCCTGAACTACAGTGACAAAGTTTGGCAGATTTTATTTGTTAAAACCTAGCAGACAGATATGAATTGGAAAGCTAGTGTACAAATTTGATTTTGAAATGTATTTATCTGATGTAAAAAAAAAATGTTATATTGGACTGGCATATTTAGATACAAATCCCTATGTAGCTATGAAACTCAATCAGGGACTCACTATTTCTCAGTTTAATTGGCTCTCTGGAATATTGTGACAATAAAATGTAAACAACAGCCACATGTGCCACCTTGAACTCAGTGGAGGAAATTTATTTATTATTTATTTACTCTATTTGTATCATGCCTTTCTCTACCCCGAAGGGGACTCAAGGCGACTTTACATATGGCAACCTTTGGACAACAAACAGAATACACTTAAGCTAAAACTGAAATTAAAAATAAAATTAAATGCACATTAAAACATATAAAACATTGCATTCACTATTAAAATCACACCATCCTCAATCATAATTCAAGGCCGTTCCAAAGATCAATTGCACATAGTTCAAGGCTATTATTCAATATCGTTAATCTCCAAAGGCTTGATCCCAGAGCCAGGTTTTCACTTTCCTTCTGAAGGCCAGGAGGGAGCTGCTCTAATATCACTGGAGAGGGAATTCAACAGCTGAGGGGCCACCATGGAGAAGGCCCTGTCTCTTGTTCCCACCAATCGCGCCTGCGATGGAGGCAGGACCAAAAGCAGGGCCTCCCCATGATGGTTCATAGAGGGAGATACATCCGGACAGGTAAGCTGGGCTGGAATAGTTTAGGGCTTTATAGGCTAAAGCCAGCACTTTGAATTGTGCTTGGTAGCAGACTGGCAGTCAGTGGAGCTGATGTAACAAAAGAGTTAGATGCTCCCTGTACGCCACTCTGGTGATCGGCCTGGCTGCTGTCCATTGTAAGCTTCTGAACAGTATTTAAAGGCAACCCTGCATAGAGCGCATTGCAGTAATCTTGGGATGTAACTAGAGCATGGACTACCGTGGCCAAATCTGACCTCCCAAGGTACAAGCACAGCTAGTGCACAAGTTTTAATTGTGCGAATGCTCAAAATTCCCAAAGTAAGGAGTCTAATCTTTAGTAGAGATAGTTTGGTAGCTGGTGGTACCTTTTGCATCCAGATGGTCCTTCTGTATTCAGCACTGAACTCTGCAGAAAAACAAGTCCCAGGAAACTGAATTGTGAAGCTCTTAAACTATGTATGTATTACTTTAATTGGCATTCAGATGAGGAAAAGCAATCTAAAGATCGGGAGAATTTAAGAAAATGAAATTATATAGGCAAGAAAAAGAGAAAGCAAGAGAAACATGTGGAGGTGGATGAGAAACTGGGTTTTCAGAATTCTTGCAATTGTTTCTTTCTCTCCAAAGCTCAAAATATGGACAGGGATGTGGTAAAGCATGGATGAAATTTATCATCTTCATTGCATTAAGGTTTTTATGGTAGTCATGTTATTCCTGCTGTTGAGTTGTAGTCCAGTGCTCACGCCACTCTACCATGCTGGTTTGTTGTAGTTATGTAACATAGTATAAATGTCAGTTTAAAAGTGACATGAAAATTAGGAGAAAGAACAGACATCGAACTATACCTGTCCGGACATATCTCCCTCTATGAACCATCTCAGAGGCTAACATCTTCTTGGGACACCATGCTCCCAGTTCCACCTTCTTCGCACGCGACTGGTGGGGACAAGAGACAGGACCTTCTCTGTGGTGGCCCCTTGTCTATGGAATACCTTCCCCAACGAAATTAGATTAGCGCCCTCCCTCTTGGACTTCAGAAAAAAAAGCAAAAACATGGCTGTGGAACCAAGCATTTGGGCAGTAAGCAGGACAAGAAATGAACATGGATTATGTACAATTGTTATTTGATACTGGAACGCCCTGAACCATGCTTCTGGATTGTGTGTTTTTATGTTAGGTTTCATGTTTTGTAAGGCATTGAATTTTGCCATGAATATGTTGGAAACAGCTTTGAGTCCCCCCAGGGGTGAGGAAAGCGGTATATAAATGAACAAATAAATAATAAATAAATTTCTGCAGAATTATGCTCTGCGAGCAATGACATAGGATCTTAACACATATGTTAACCTTTTTCTGCTAACTTTCTGAACTCTAGAAATCATAAATCTTAATTGGGAAGGAGTGGATTGCAAAATGTTAATTCCAGGGCTGACCACATCAACCAGGGTGGAAGTTAAGGAGATACTTCGCAAGATTAAAATCTTCACCTATCCCCGACTGTTAACAATAATATGATCCACAATATTTTCTTCCTTCCTCCCACACAGACTGCTTTGAATCACGCTAAATTATCCAAGAGATATTTTGCTGTCTCATGCTTTATACAATCAGAAAATTCACAACAAGCTCTGATTCATTCTTGACAAAAGGGTCCAATGTCCATAGGACAGGCAATTTAAATCTGTTTTGGTTAATTATTAGATAGTAAATGAAATATTGGCGTCTTGTATAAATGTTCCTATACTTTAGGGCAGCATTACACATGAAATCAAATCACATAACCCCAGGAAAGAGAAAAACAGGGGCAGGAGAGTTCAAGTCTTGGAGTGAGACAAAGAACATGCACTTGACTTTTCCATGACACAAGAATTCCTTTGCAAAGGCTGCGTGAATGCCAGGTTACCATAGCAAAATTGATTTTTCAAAAGATCTACTTAATGAGTGGTGGCAAACCTTTTAGGCCCTTTCCACACAGCTGGAAAAAAAACCCACATTATCTGCTTTGAACTGAAATATATGGCAGATATCCTAGTTCAAAGCAGACACTGTCAGATTTTCTGCCTTGATATTCTGGGTTATATGGATGTGTGGAAGGACCCTTTGAGACCAAGTGCCCAAACCATGATCCAAAAGCTGACGGGGGGAGGGGGGACTGTGTGCGTGCCAGGAGCACTCTGTGACTCTTCTTGCCATAGGTTCACCACCACTGTACTAAATGAATGACAGAAATGCTTGAAAGCTCCCTAAAGCATCTGGTTGACCACCGTGTGAACAAAATAATGGACCACATTGGTTTTAATTCTCATCCAGCACAACTATTTTTATCTCTTATAGTATAAAAATTAAGACTGCAGACCAATGTGACTGGTGAGATCCATGCTGTTGGAGAAGTAAGTCTGCTTTGTCTTTTAGTCCAGCCTTTATCAAGGCTTTCTAAAATCCATAGACAGATTCTTTAAATTTTGGATTAAAACTTTTGTATGTTTGTCACCTCATTAACACAGTAGCTATCATCACCACTGATTATCACACAGCCTTCCCCATGAGTTTCAACAACTTCACTGATTTCACTCAGACCCAAAGCACAAAGGTTTCCTGCACTTCTCTGGCCTTTCTTTGGTCCTCACACTATTGTTCTTGGAAAATACTAACACAACCTGCCCCTTGATTGTCATATGTTATTATTGGTGCTATATACAATGTTGGTACTTTATCTGCATCAGCTAGCAAACTATTTCCCATTCAAAGTGCTTGTTCATTTGTTTTTTGAAGCTTTACAATTTAGGAATAAATCATGTGGCAAGATTGTCTCCTTTTGTACTTCCAGATCAACACCCTATATCTGAGGACCTGCCCCATGGCTCTCAGGTAAACAAAGAAAGGTGAATGACTACAACAGACAAGGCTTTTTCACTCATGGCTTTCCAACTGTGGGACATCCTGTTCAGAGACTCACCTTGTGCATGTGTTTTTAGCTCCAGGAGAATATCTTTTTATTTCCAGGAGCATTTTGAAAAATTGTTTTAGTGCCTTTAGACCTTTGCACTGCTTTTATCATTTTGCTGTAGGTTTTATCTCATGTTGTTTTATCTGTGATGCCTCACTTTTCCTTTGTCTTCACTATTTATTTGTATATTACCAAGAGAACTACAATTATTGGGTGATTTAAAATAAAGAAAAAAGTATATTTTTACAAAATGGAAGCAGAGGAAAAAATGCTTTCAGAGCAATCTCCCCTGCATTTCTCTCACTGTGCAAGCATACAACTTAGTACCTGATAACTCCCTAAATGATTGAATTCCGGAATCAGATACATAATATTGTACTGTTGTCCCATGTGATCATATGCCTGCCATAGATGCAGGCGAAACATCAGGAGAGAATGCTTCTGGAACATGGCCATACAACCAAAAAAACTTACAACAACCCAGTGATTCCGGCCATGAAAGCCTTCGACAATATATTAACATATCCTACGCTGTCCAATCTCCATAAGATTAGATCTATGTATTGCAGGATCCTTTTGAGCAATCCCCAGCTTGATCCCAGTGCTTTGAAGAGGCAAAATGCTCCATTCCAGTTCAACTAGATCAGTGGTTCTCAACCTGTGAGTCCCCAGATGTTTTGGCCTTCAATTCCCAGAAATCCTAACAGCTGTAAACTGGCTATCTATCTTTTCTACGTATATATCTTATTTTATCATCTATCTCTCAGCTTGTGTGGGAGATACTGGTAATAGTCATCCACCCTCATCCCTGCTGCCCACCTGGAAAAAACACGTACCTGAGACCCTGCCCAAGCTGGGTACTGCCCTGGCCCAATTCTTTCCAAAGATCAACCTCTTGCCATAGCCCCTCTGTGAAGAAAACCTACAGTGACATGGAGCAGCATCAGGGTTTATTGGAGAAGTGACAGTCACAGGGAGTGTTGCCCAAGCTCAAGGGCTCCTTCAGCTAAGCCCCCACCCACCCACACAGTTTATTCCCCACAGACAAATGGCATTACAATAGGTAAGGAAGAAACTCTGTGGAGTAAGACTACAAAGTGGGAATAGGAATAAAAACAACCACAGGCTCCTTCATTTGATTGACCCCACATCCATTATGTGCTGGCAAGGAAGCTGTCAAAATGTCTGTGCCTAATAACTGAGCAAGTCCCAGTGTGTCAGGTCTTCCTCTTCCACAGGATCTTCTTCTACAGGATATTCTTTGCAATTGCATTCAGGGTCCTCACTTTGGCCACATCTGCCACCTTGATGGAATATTCAGGTGTAGAGAGGTAGGCCCCCATAGTAACGCTGGGGTTTCTAAAAGTAAATCAGCAAGTCATTAGTTACTGTCTAGAATAGGAGAGGGAACACAAGGAGGGGTAGAAGATCATTTCAAAGTCCTCTTGACCCATGCAGGCGAAACACTTGTTATTGTTATGAATGCATACAACCAGTTACCATACATCTTACACTATATGTTATGTTATATTACATTGTGCTTTTAAGGTATTGTATATTAAGTGGTATTATTTCTTGTGTTTTAAGTTCACTGAGTTAATTCTTTTTTTATTGTTATGGGTTATATTGAGTTTATTTCACTCTATGTTTTGTTTTGATTGTCTATTTGGTTTTGGCATTGAATGTTTGCCATTTTGTTATTCCTAAAAAGCACCCTAAGTCCCTTTGGGGACAGAGTTTAAATATAAATAAAGTTTTTTATATTATTATTATTTCCTGAAACAAACACTGATATTTTGATTACCACTGGTGACTTTTTCTGTGATGTTTTGTATGTTTGGGGGGAAGCCTGTTCCCCACAAACCAATTTTTCGCAGAAAATGGAAATTTGGGTCATCTCTCCCCCCCCCCCCTTCTGATCTCAAGGATGCAGGGTAGTGGACCTCAACTCCAAATGCCACAATGTGCAATCTGCTCTAGAATACAGATAGAGACAGTAGATACCATTATACCTATATCTACGACATCCTATTTTTGACAATATACAAAATACATCAGTACAAAATATGTTATTATGACTACAGTGGGACCTCAGTATCTGCTGGTGTTTTGTTTGATAAGTCCCACTGAATTTGATATGCCCCATTTTAATCTGCAGCTATCACTATGTTTTATTAAGTATTTTATTTAATTTTGTAGAGGTTTTATATGCTGTTTATGTATATTTGTTTTATGTTAATTGAAATTGTTATTGTTTTATAAATGTTTATGTATTTTGCTGTATTTTGTATATTCTGCTGCACTACTATGTACTTTTGTAAGCCACCCAAGTCCCTTTTGGGAGATGGTGGCGGGATATAAATAAAGCTATTTTTATTGTTGTTGTTGTTGTTGTTGTTGTTTCCAGAACCCTCCATGGGTATCTAAGTCTGTGAATGCTAAAATCACATTATATAAAATGGCATAGAAAAATGGTAACATTCATATAAAATGGCAAAAAACTTAAACAAATGAGACAAAAGAGAATCTGGAGGTATGTGAAATACTGAGAGCTATATCAGGGTGCTCAGTGCATGGCAAAATTAAAGTTTGCGTTTTGTATTGTTTTATTGGTTTTCCCCCCAAATATTTCTAAGTTATGGTTGAATCTGTGGATGGGGAAATTGTACATATGGAGGACTGGTATTACTGAGGCATCAGAGATGACAAATACTGCCATTTGAATGCTATTTCACTCTAAGCATCTGAAGTAGGAGCCACTGGCAGGCTTTAGTTCCAGATAGAATTGGCTCTCAGGTGCCAATATTCCTAATGTTTTTTACTGGTCAACCATTCTGAACAATAGAGTTGCATTGAGAGGTATGGAAAGGGCTTGGGCTTCTCAGCCAGTCAGAGGAAAATCTGAATTAGTTACCTGAACTTCATGTTTGAGTCCTTAGCAGAACGCGCTGAGCAGTGAAACTCTGAAGCCCCAGAGCCTTCGAGGATTCTCTGCAGGTTTCTCTCTGTTATGCCTCCACCTGGTGGAGAGAATATCCATTGCTCAACCAAAAATATGGAGTGAAATAATAATTAAAGATATAAACGCGAGCCCGATCTCTGAAGATATTACAGGAAAAAGGAAATGACTTGCTCTGAGCTTGGGGTGAGGAAACTATAGCCTATGGACTAAATGTGACCCCCAACTACTATTTTGCATGTTCCCAAACCACCTAATTCTACTTCAAGGCAAAAAACCCACAGCTGAACACTCCACTTGGAGTAATAATTTCCTTTTATATTACTTCCACACCCAATCCCCAAACAACCCCCCCAAAACAAAACTGAATATTAACATGAAACACCTCCTGTGGGCAGGGGCGTCTTGTTATTTCCAAGAGTATTTTCAGCAACAAAAATGGCTCGTGATAGATGTTATAAGTAGTGTATAGGCAGGTTGGTGTAGAGGCAGATCAGCAACCTAATGCCACAAGGCATCCAGGGTAACGCAAGGCAAGGCCACCTCAACACAGGCTTGCCTCATGCTAACCAAAGTTGGAGGAATAGTTGAGCCAGTTACAAAACAGACAGGGATGGCAGTCCCCTTCTCTTCAACCCTCTGTGTCACAATAATATCCAGCCTTGACATGGGCCCTTGCATGCCATGATGTCACCCACAGTGCACTGGGGGGAGAGGTCCCCCTTCTTTCCCCTAACCTGATGCCCAGTGCCCTGGCTGACATGACAGCAGACAGGTAGGACTTGCATCACAACTAGAACCGCTACTAGGGGGAGGGAGGAACAGGATAGTTAGGGTGGCCACCTCTGTAGCAGCTGGGAGAGTCCCGGTGTTAACTATATCCAGGGTCAATTTGGCATTGGGCACACTGGGTCAACTGTTGGGTATGAGTTAGCGTCGATTTAGCTGGAGCAACAGCTGAACTGCAAGTAGGCTGAGGATCCACACTATTCTGTAAGATTTTGAGGTATGGTAATTCCAGAATTTGTTGCCTACTACAGAAATTTATTTAATACCACTATACTCTACTTAGCAAATCAAACATATACTACAAAAATACTGTCTCTAGTGTTCTCAAAAAGAAATTAAACTCTGTATTGGCACTTAGACTGGGCCCATAACCCTTTTTGTTAGGGAAAACTACCCTAAATAAAGCAGAGCATCCAAAAACAAACAGGATACAAAAACCTGAGCTCATTAGTGAGCAAAGAGTGAAATGCCACATGACGTGGCTATAAAGGATTTAAAGCGTAGGAGGCCAACATGCAGTCCAATCTTTTAAAAAATCACAAAAAGTTTATTTACAATAATAAGAAATAACTGCATTTCTTAATAGTAAAGAACTGGGTCTGAGCTACTCGTAACACTCATCTCTTCTAAGTTTTCAAGAGAGGGAAAAACTCATTCACTACATCTCTCCTGACACAAGCAGATCTCAAAGCACAAAGCACACACTCTCCATACTAAAGTATAAGAAGGCCGAAGGCAGATTCAAAAAGCTTGCAGAAGAAAGTATCCATTTTAAACAACCAATAAGAATGAGTGAGTAACAGAGATAAGAGAAGAAATTAGATACATTCCAACTGTCATATAAAAGACATGGGCGAAGGGAATCCCTTAGTCCATACTAAGCTAACTAAACTGTTCCTCATTGAGGACTTGAGACCTGGGCAGTGTGGGGCTGAATCCCGACACTTATCACCTACGAAAATTGGGGTGTCTAGTAATATAGTGGGGGTGCCTGGCCTACACCAACTAGTGGTATTTGCAAAAGAGTCTTACCTGGCATTACAACAATCCTGCCCTTAGCCTAAAAAGGAAGAGAAAAGCAGGTTAGTGATTTTTCTTCTTAGAGAAAACACAATGTGTAAATGGGACAGCTAACTTATTTAGAAAGATACTGTATTTATTATCAGTAGAATTTAATTTTCAATTCTTGAAATGCTCTTTTCTAGAGGTTTGCTCTACATCAAACCCATACTGAGACTTTATGTATTCCTACAGTAAGGTAAACAACCTTCCAAAAGTTCATTATCACTGTCTCTAGCAGTTCAACTGCTTCACATTTACCAACATGAGACAGTGACAGAGAGGTGAAGGAATTTTAAGTAACTTCATCCCCTTTATGTTAATCTTTTCAGCTCTGGTACATTCTACTGGAAACATTATGTGCATATTTACAATACATGTATTTTGTACCTTGCTGACAAGAACAGAGGTATTTTGTTACCACATCCTTTAATGTGATATCAAAATGAGGTGTGATATCAGATACTGCAATGCACAGGTTCTGTTTATTTAGCTGGAAAGCCAGAGTGCACCATTCATAGGTAAGATAACTTCACCATCTTGAAGATGATGACTGAGACCTTTCTGCTTTTTTCCTGGCTCCCATTATGCACTGCATGTTCTTTAGTCAGCAATCTTTAAAAAATCCAGGCAAAAGCATCAGCCATATTACAAAGTAAGGACAGATGACATCTCACCTGATCTGTTAGCCGTTTTATCAAGGGTAGTCCCTCCAAAGCAGAGCTGTCACAGCCACTAGTCAACACTCGTTCAAAACCCAATGATATCAGTGTTTCCAGGGCTATCATCGGATCATAGACCATGTCAAAAGCTGCAGGGGAAAATGTACTATGTCAGACTATTGTCAGAGCTTCTAGAACAGCGTTTCTCAACCCGGGGGTTGGGACACCTGGGAGGGGGTCACGAGGCGGGTGTCAGAGGGGTCAGTATTTTCTGTTGGTCATGGGGGTTCTGTGTGGGAAGTTGACCCAATTCTATTGTTAGTGGGGTCCGGAATGCTCTTTGATTGTACGTGAACTATAAATCTCAGCAACTGCAACTCCCAAATGTCAAGATCTATTTTCCCCAAACTCCACCAGTGTTCACATTTGAGCATATTGAGTATCCATGCCAAGTTTGGTCCAGATCAATCATTGAGTCCACAGTGCTACAACTCCAAAACTCAAGATCAATGCCCACCAAACCCTTCCAGTATTTTCTGTTGGCCATGGGAATTCTGTGTGTCAAGTTTGGTTCAATTCCATTCTTGGTGGAGTTCAGAATGCTCTTTGATTGTAGGTTAACTATAAACCCCAGCAACTACAACTCCCAAACAACAATATCACCCCCCCCCCCCCCCCCCCCCCCCCCCCCAACTTCACCAGTATTCAAATTTGGGATTATCGGGTATTTGTGCCAAATATTTGTGTCAAATTTGGTCCAGCTTAGGAGAGGGGTTAGCGGCTATATGAAATTCCCCATGAGACATTGGTTTTGCCTTCAGAGATTTAGCCTCTACTGGACCACAATTCCCAGGTGACAGCACTGTGGTGTGCAATGTTCAGCTTTAATCATCATAGTGCCTGACAGGCTATTCTAATGGGCTTGAGCCTTCACAGTACAAGGAAAAGTCCAGCTTCTATTCCCCACTCCAAGTCCCAAAACCTCACCTCTGTGGAAAGTGACTGGTAAAGGACGTGAAGCAGCTGGAAAAAAACCAGAACAGATGTTTAGGACATATTTGCTTAAGGACAAACACTTCCTTTTCCAGAAAAGGGAACAATTATACTACTGACCCTGGAAAGAGAGGAACAACCTCCTCATACACTTCAGCACTTGCCAGAACAGTCATCTCCAACTCTTGTTTTCATAATATGGGATTCATCCTCAATTTGCATCAGCTGCCATTTAAAACACCTCCTCATGCCAACCTGCCTGAACATTAAGGGCCCTTCCACAAAGCCATATAATCAGAATATCATGGCAGATAATCCACAATATGTGCCTTGAACTGGATTATCTGAGCCCACACTACCATACAATCAAGTTCAATGTAGATTTTATACAGCTGTATGGAAGGGCCTAACATTTTCTTAAGATGAGGTCCTTCTCTCTGTATCACCAGAAGGAGATGTAAATTATATAACTCAAAAGAAACAATGTATGTGTTATGGCACACTGGTTTTGAAATCCATGGTCTAAGAAAGTAGAATTACAATAATCTTAGAGTTAGTTTAAGACATTTTTTTAACAATCAAGGAAATGTTAAATTATTGTATTCCTCAAGCTCATGGTATTTCTTCACTACAAACAAGGTAGGAAAGGCTGCAGTAGTTTGATTTTGCCTGAGGCTAGAGGGAAGGAAAACATCTCTTCCTCCCTCCCCTTGCTGAGCTAACTGAGTGCAAACTATCTGTACATATTGAACAAAGTTTGTAGCAAGTTGAAGAGAAAGAAGGAATGTGGGAGGAGAAAAGAGAGGATGTGATGTGCATTGTAGCCATCAATTTGACCTTTGCTGGTCTATATATCACCCTGAATCCATTCATGTGAAGGGCAATTGAACTATTACACTTGAAATATAATAAAATGGCTAGCATTCCCTAGCACTGACATGTTTCATTATTGTCTTTCCACGGCCTCTTCTACACTGCCATATAAAATCCAGATTATCTGCTTTGAACTGGATTATATGGCAGTGTAGAAGTGGCCCTAGTTCAGTGGTTCTCATCCTGTGGGTCCCCAGGTGTTTTGGCCTACAACTCCCAGAAATCCCAGTTCACCAGCTATTAGGATTTCTGGGAGTTGAAGGCCAAAACATCTGAGGACCCACAGGTTGAGAACCACTGCCCAAGTTAAAGGCATTTTATTTTAGAGCAAACAGCAACAGAGTTGTGCAAGCTCATGGGAAATCAGACATTAAACAGACACTTTTTCTCTGAGGGCTTGAGATGAGAAAAAGCAGAAAAAGATATTCCGACAAACGCTTTTTTCCCTCATAAAGAATGACTTGCAATTGGAAAATGGGCCAAAAATTTTAATGTGAGAAATTACACCTCCAAATGTTGATGAATTGCCTTCCTCATCATTCTTCACCACTGATTAGGTTAACTGAAAGTGATGGAATTGTAGTCTAACAACATCTGGGAGACAATGGATTCCATGGCCCTACAGCACAACACAACTGGGAACACTGAGGCAAACTCTTAACAAACAACTAGTTCTTTGGGGACATGGGATTTTGCCTCCTTCTCAAAAGAAATAATTTGCCTTCTTTGCTGCTAATATACATCTGACCCTTGGAATTATATACTGACAGCATCCTACAATAATGGTCACCAATCAATCATCAAATAAACCTCATGAAAAGCAAGGCATTTCACCCAGCAGTGCTGTGCAGAGCTCTGTGTCCACACGCCCATCCTCAGTCAAGGCTCCAAACACCAGCCCATCTGCCCCATGTTGCTTGGCAAGTCGAATGTCAGCTTTCATCACCTCCACTTCCCGATCAGAATAGAGGAAGTCCCCTCCACGGGGACGTATTAGCACACATGCTGGCACCCGTATACACTGTTTCACCACTTGTAGAAACCCTGCATGCAGAAAAAGATATGACAGATGGTATCAGTTAAGAGCTTGTTGTTACATTAAGTTTGCCTTTATTTATATTAATTTGCTTTTAATTATTGTAGCTCAATATTAATATGAAGTCAATACAGAGTATATGGTGTTATAACATGAGATATAGTATTAGTTAGGCTCACTTTTAATACCGTAATAACTCTCAACCAACCAGAAACTACATTTAACCAGCATCTACAAGTCCCCATGGCTGCCAGTTAACTGTGAGTCTACTGTGTTTGACATCTTTTCTTCTCACATCCCCTAGAACCAATCTAAACCTCTCAGGCTGCAAGTAAGACTGATGAGCTATTTTTTGCCCACAAGCCATCACAAATATTTCCGAACTGCCTGAATATGCAGAAAGGGTGCTCCTAGAGAAAGGAATATGTAACAGGATAACAAAATGACAACTTTCTTGATAAAAAGCTCAGAAGAGTGCATTTGTTCTATCCCAATAGGCAGAACACCAAGTTCTTCTTGCCTGTACCAGCAGCAGAAGTTCTAAGAGGAAAGTCAAGTATACCAAATCTTTACAGTGTTTTTATTATTACATACTGCAGAGTGTCAGTGAGTTGCATCTTAGCCTGTGCCAATGGTGGCAACTCACCTATACTAGGTGTGGTTCCTCCTTCCATCAGATTGGCACACAATTCAAGGCGGCCAGCACCTGCATCAGGGTCACAATTAAAGCCTCTGGTTATCAATGGAGAGCAATATTTTAATAGGGATGCTGAGAATAAAGCACAGAATCAATGTGGTCTTTGTTCTAATAAACATATAAAATATTAGATATTTCTGAGCCATCATCTGTGAATAATGACAGTGTGTATATCTTTATATGTTTGAACCACAAAGGTTCCTATATGGCTTGTTAGATCTGGAACGACTTAAGAATGAGAGGGAAAGAGCCAGCTGCAACCAAAAGATGCCTCTAAAGGGTTGCAATGGAGAACTTATATAAGCTGGATGTGGTCAGTATCTGAGGGACAAAGAAAGTACTCCTTTGTGTTTCAGTTCCAGACTCAGTGATGAATCCAGGAGAGCTCCAAGGCTGCTAATCTGTGATTTCAGGGGGAGTGTGATCCCATCCTTAGTAGTAGGTGGAAAAGAGTGATAGAGTTGGATGTCATCTTCGTAAAGGTAGCATCGAATTCCAAAACTCCAGATAATCTCTCCCAGCAGCTTCATGTAGATGTTAAACAACATGGGGGAAAATACTGAACCCTGCGGAACCCCACAGGACAAGAGCTGTGGGGCTGAGCAGGTGTCCCCTAGCAACACCTTCTGGAAGCAACCCTCCAAGAAGGATTAGAGCCACTGCAAAACAGTACCTCCAAGTCCCATTCCTGCGAGGTGCTCCAGAAGGATACCATAATCTATGGTATCAAAGGCCACTGAGAGGTCCAAGAGATCCAACAGGGACACAATTCCCCTGTCAAGTTCCCTACATAAATCATCCACTTAGGAGACCAAGGCTCTCTTGGTTCCATGACCTGGTCTGAAGCCAAACTGCGATGGATCTAGATAATCCGTTTCCATTAAAAATGTAGTTCTTTATATTTGTCTTCTCCACATAGGCTTCTTTCCAAAGTAAATAAATGAAAATAACAAAAAAAATAGGTGATTTGGAGGTTTCAGAAAAAGGGTTTTACATTTTTTGCACTTGTAACCCTTTTTCATCCAAGAAATGTGTACGTGATGAAATGTGTACCTATATAAAATAGGTATAAAAATTAAACATTTACTGATAACAAATCAACATTTGTGAGGCTTGCAAATACCAAGGAGTTTAACTTTTGTAGCACAAAGCAAGGCAATATGAAGCCACTCTGGGAAATCCAGATTATTATTATTATTATTATGGCAAAAGAGGTTAGTAGAGCTTTTCCTAACACCTTCTGCCAATAAATAAATAAATAAACCCACAACAACCGTGGATTTTCCAGAGTATTCTGATATCAGTATGTCTTCCTTCATTTTCAAAAATGGGAGATTACCTCCTCTTTCTGCATTCACAGCAGACTCCACTGAATCAACACAGACTTCCATGAGAAAGCCATTGGCCATTCCTGAAAAGAAACATGATCAGACATTATAGAGGAATTGAGCTCTGTATCAGAGAGAATGAACAGATAACAGTTGGAAGAGTTGTTTCTGTTTACTTTAAGTTCCAGTTCCTATTATGGCTTTTAATCTGTTTTTTTAACATAAATCACTCAGGTCCACAAAACTGTCAACACTGGTCATTCTACAGAACCATATCTCGTGTGCATTATAAGGGTGAGAAAGTAGGGTGAGAAAAGCAGCGTCACCTCCAGTATATACCTAAGGGAAAAAAACATTGACTGGTTTGCTTTGGAAGTCTGTAAATAATTTACTTGTTATCTCCATGAATAACAAGAAAACTATTTTTTTTGCCTATTATGCAATGTTTAATATACCACAATAAATCACAACCAAATCAAAATCCTAAATTAGTAAAACAGCAGCAAGGCTGAAAGCTGATGAAAAGATGGAATACAATTGGGAGGAAGATTTGAAATACCAAAAAATCTTTAAATTCCTAGAAAAATATAAAGGATTTTGGTGGAAGCTCATTCCTTGGTGGTTTTTTAATAGAGGATGGATGGAAATCTGTCAGAGATACTTTGTGATTTTACTGCATGGCAGGGGATTGGACTAGATTATTATTATTATTATTCTGCTCTATATCACCAAGGAGACTCAGAGCGGATTATAACATAAACAGATAGGCAAACATGCAATGCCTTTAATACAGTGGAATAACGACGACATACAAATACACAGAACAAAGGTTTTTGGTTTATTTTCCATGTCAGGAGCAACTTGAGAAACTGCACGTCGCTTCTAGTGTGAGAGAATTAGCTATCTGCAAGGACACTGCCCAGGGGATGCCCAGATGTTTGATGTTTTTACCATCTTTGTGGGAGACTTCTCTCATGTCCCTGCATGGGGCTGTAAAGCTGACAGAGGGAGCTCAACCCACTCTCTCCGGATTCAAACCACTGACCTGTCAGTCAGCAGCCCTGCCAGCACAAGGGTTTAACAAGGGGGCTATGAGGGCATTGTGGTGCTCAATCATAGTTGTTTAGAATGCAAAACACTTTTTGGGATATAACTCCTCAAATTCTAGGCATTGATGTCCAAAAAGGGATTTTTCTGATTTCTGGTTGCCTGGAAAATTACCATACAAGCTTCTCTTACATTTGGGAAGTAGTATTAACAGAAATGTTCACTTGCTTTCCACTTCTGTAGAGCTCAATCACTGACTTCCATCCATCACTGACTCTATGCACTTTCCATTGCTTCTCACCTTAAAACATCAGCAGCATCCTAAAGACAAGCTTAAGAGTTGTTATTGCTTTTGTTACTGCAATGCAACCTGAGCCCTGCCACATGCACAATGGAGGACCTTCTTACAGCAACACCAGAGGCACTCCAAGTGGCCAGCTACTGGTCAAAGGACATTTAATTGAATACCAAGTTTGCAAAGTTTGTGTTTTGTTTGTTTCTTTGTTTGTTAATACAACTATTTGGTTTGCTCCTGACACCATAAATAAATATTGCTTTTGTGATTGAGAATGTGTTGCCATGTTGGGGTGGCCAGAAGCAAGGCTCAATACGGGAGCGCACAGTTTAAATCCGTTTATTAAAGCTTAAACTATTACGTGTAGGATTACTGCTTCCACATTCTCCTAGCTATTAGGACAAATAATCATGCTAGTTAGTAAACTGTTATACTAACCAGCATGATTTTGTCATAGTTGTAGTTGCTGGGATTTATAGTTCATCTGCAATCCCCATACACTTTCAACCAGCATCCCATGACCATGGAACACAATAAATTTTCACTGGGCTCTTTGGGAGTTCCCAGTGCCCATTCCCTTAAGCATTTTCCCAAAAGCAGTGTTTCTCAACCTTCCTAATGCTGCGACCCCTCATGTTGTGATGGACCCCCAACCATAAAATTATTTTCATTGCTACTTCATAACTGTAATTTTGCTACTGTTATGAATCATAATGTAAATATCTAATGTGCAGTATGTATTTTCATTCAATGAATGAAATTTGGCACAAATACTCGATAAGACCAAATCTGAATACTGGTGGGGTTGGGAGGGATTGATTTTGCCATTGGGGAGGTGTAGTTGCTGGAGTTTATAGTTCGCCTACAATCAAAGAGCTTTCTGAACTCCACCAAAAATGGAATTGAACCAAACTTGGCACACGGAATTCCCATGACTAACAGAAAATACTGGAAGGGTTTGGTGGACATTGATCTTGAGTTTGGGAGTTGAAGTTCAGCTTTGAACTTGAATATATGGCAGTGTGGACTCAAGATAACCCAGTTCAAAGCAGATGTTGTGGGATTTTCTGCCTAGATATTCTGGGTTCTATGGCTGTGTGGAAAGGCCTTGAGTCTCAAAGGGACCAGGAATCCCTTCGCCTGTTCAAGAGTGAAGCCGGGGTGSGAAGAGTGCCAATAAGACAACTCMACCCAGCACTGGCTTCTTCCTTTCTCTTGAACCAAGAAGGAAGGGCGAAGAGGCCCAAATCCAACAAGCCCTACCGGATTTCCGCCCCTGGGCCCGCCCACYAATTGCCCCCGGCTTTCCCTTCCGGCCGCCATTCCTGGTTCCGTCTCCGCCCACTCCCCCTCCCGTCGGGCTTCGCTTCCGGCCGCATCTCCTCAATTCCGCCTCTCGGGGCGGGAAGAAGGARAGAGGCCTTGGCAACTCCCAGGCTAGAGAGAGAGAGAGAGAGAGAGAGGAAAGAAGAGGAAGCCCCGCCCACGCCCCGCCCCTTSCTCCTCACCTGTCCTGCTCGCGCGCGCGCGCGCSCCAGAGAAAGAGAAGAGGCGCCGTCCGGGCTGTCACGTGGGTCCACCCCTCGCGCTCTCAGAGCGAGCTTGCGCATTCGCTCGTTTCCGTATCCGGGGAGAAAGACACTTCCGGGTAGTGTCTCGGCAGCGATGTTGTTGCTTCTGCGGGCGGCATGCGGTGGGGCTCGGGCCCTGCTGCCCCCTCGTGGTGGTGGCGGCGGCTCTCTGGGCCAGGTAGAGGGATGTCGGGTGATGGATAATGGAACACAGCGCCTCAGAGAAGCTAGGACTATAAACCAGGCCTGGGCAAACTTCGGCCCTCCCCTCAGGTGTTTTGGACTTCAACTCCCACAATTCCTAACAGCCTCAGGCCCTTTCCTTTTAAGCGGCGGAGGGGCAAAAGGAAAGGGCCTCAGGCTGTTAGGAATTGTGGGAGTCCAAAACACCTGGGGGGAGGGCCGAAGTTTGCCCAGGCCTGGCACTAAACAACTTGCTTGTGGGATAGGGTTTGAGGTCCCATTTCTATGGCAACTAGTCCCCCCGCCCCGTGGGTTGAGAAAGGCAGGGTAGAAATGTTGTAAATAAATAAACAAGGGAGAACCACGTTTTTTAAAAATCCGTCAATACAGGAAGCCTCCTCTTACCTGAAAATTGGGGACTTGAGTGCTATCAGAAAGTGGAATTAGTTTAAAAATGGAACCCACTGTTAGAAGTTATTTTCGCTTGCAAATACATCATAACTGCTTAAAAATGTAAATACAGTAGACTCTCAGTTATCCGAAACTCTCGAGCAACTGGCAAAAAAAATAAAAAAAATAATATTTTAAATAACACTTACAATGCATGTGTAATACAGTAAAATGTTATGTTACGTAACGTTGGTTTTAATTTGTTTATAACTGTAAGCAGTTCCCAAGTTACAAACATAGTTAAGAACAGGGGTGAGACAACAGGAAGTGAGTATAATCTACCCCTCAGAAGGGAAATTCACTCCTGGAAGAGTTGTCACGGGGAAAAGGTGTCTCCACTGAAGCTTTGTCACCAATCCTTGTTACTACAACAAGGCATATTTTTCAAATCCCAATTATTATTATGGACCGTGAGGTGAACTCTTCTGAACGGGCACAGACAGCAAAACAAACACCACAGGGGTGTTAACCCTTCCCTATGCTATTCAAGGGTAATACAGTGTTTGGCTGGAAATGAACCTGTTCTGACTTACATACAACTTCAACATAAGAACATACCCACAGAACTTATCTTGTCTGTAACTTGGGGACTGCCTGTACTATATTTCAACATAAATACCACGTCGATACAGAGTTTATATCATAGCATAGGTATAGTATTAGTTAGGCATAATTTAATAGTAACTGAGAGCCTACTGTAATATACTACTTCTCATTTTGCATGTGTGATGAAGCTAAAAAAGCTTTTGCCAACATCTAAAAGATGATCCAAGGAAGTGTAGACCAGCCTTTGGATTGCACGTATACATGAAAGCAATCCTAGTCTAGCCTTGTTGGCAAGAACTGACAAAAGAGCAGATCCCTTATCAAATTGTCACTAACTAACGTCTGTGTCCTCAGCAATGCTTCCGACGGTGGCAGCTTCCCCAGAGACGGGCACAACATAGTGTTGTGTCAGAAGTGGTTTCTCATTCCAGAGTGGCAACACCATCTGTTCCCAATGCTGTGACAAATCGGACTGTGGGGCGCTGGCTCCTAATCTGCAGTGGCACTGTAGCTGGAGCTGTGGTGCTTGGTGGTGTTACTCGGTAAGGAGACTTTGTCTTCTTTAGCTTATCACTGTCTATTCCTTTCCTTTTTCAAAAAAAAGATCCACAGTTCTCATAGACTGTGGATCCCTCTGCATTTAGCAGACTTGTTTCCTTTTTTCTCAGGTATTTTTGCTTTACAAGATGCTATAAAGACAATCACACTGTATACAATATAGCATGTGGATTTAAATTTCCATAGATCAGAAAGATCAGGAATTTTAGACTCTTGAGATAAGCTTTGTGACCTCATTCCTTTTTTATGGCTGCATTATAACTTTTCTTCCTTTATTGTACAATTGCATTGTAAGGACAAATTCTATATCATAATGCTTGATCTGGCATATGTAATATTGTTATAGTAAATCAGAGGTTCATGGAAGTCTTGGGAATATATTTATTTATATCTTTTATTTAATAATAGGACTCAAGGTACCTTGCAAACTAAAACCAGAACATATTAAAAATGACACAGAAACTTCAGCGATGCAGTTGATACCTCCTGACTTGCATCATAGTATAATGCCCTTAAGACAGTGGTTCTCAACCTGTGGGTCCCTGGGTGTTTTGGCCTACAACTTCCAGAAATCCCAGCCAGCTTACCAGCTGATTGGATTTCTGGGTGTTGAATGCCAAAACATCTGGGGACACACAGATTAAGAACCATTGCCTTAGAACTTAGATGCCTTAATCTTCTGATTGTTTGATTACATCCTCAATTTTCCATTTTAATTAGATTGACCTGAAAGCATTATATGTTTTGCTTTTGTTATTTGTTTATTTATTTATTCTGAAGCATATAACCTGTCTCCCTTGCTTCACTTTTTATTTTGTTCTGTTACGCACATTCACTCAGAATGTCAGTTTTTTTAGTTCACTCACCAGCTTGCAGAATAATAATGTAATTTTATGCATATTTACTCAGAAGACAACTTGCGGGGGTTACATCCCAGTTAGTATGCTGAATATTATACTATGGTGCTGGATTGCATCTGGGAAACACTCCAGATTTGTAGTTGTAGCTCCAGGTTTGCTTTGATATGCAGCCATATAACCCAGAATATCAACACAAAAAATCCCACAATATCTGCTTTGAACTGGGTTATCTGATTCCACACTGCAGTTCAAAGCAGAAAATGTGGGATTTTATTCAGCTGTGTGGAAGGGGCCTTGTAAAATATGTTCTGGGATTGCAGTAATTAGCATCTTTCACAATTCACCGTGATGCCTATGTCTGCTAAGAGTTTCAGTCTGATAGCATCAGTCTGATAGCATTCTCCCATCTATTTTACTAGATGTTGTTCATTCGTTCAGTCGTCTCCGACTCTTCGTGACCTCATGGACCAGCCCACGCCAGAGCTCCCTGTCGGCCGTTACCACCCCCAGCTCCCTCAAGGTCAGTCCAGTCACTTCAAGGATGCCATCCATCCATCTTGCCCTTGGTCGGCCCCTCTTCCTATCTTACTATCTTACTATCTTTCCTATCTTACTAGATAGTGGTATGTAATATCTAGGTACATGAGAGTCAGAGAAAACCTGGGGGAAATCTATGCATAATTAAGATAATGTGATCACATCCATTTCTGACTTCAAGTTGCTTTTCCAAAGAGACATGCGTACACCACATTTCACGGCGATAGCAGTGTCTCTCGGTGATAAATCCTTGCTGTGCTGTCTTCCCCAGGCTGACAGAATCTGGACTTTCAATGGTTGACTGGCACTTGGTGCGGGAGATGAAGCCTCCTCAGACACAGCAAGAGTGGGAGGCAGAATTCCAAAAGTACCAACAGTTCCCAGAATTTAAAATGTGAGTAAGATTCCTAGAAACTAAATTTCCATTGGGGAGATATCTCTGCTATTATAAATAAAGAGCTATCCAGCAGAGGGCACGTTGGAAGAAAATAATAATTTTTTTGGTGCTACTGGAAGAAAATTGAGGTGGTGAATAGAAAACAACTTGTTTATGTTCCTTTTTTGTTATTAAATCTTTTCTCCACATCAAACAGACTGAACCATGACATGACGCTGACAGAGTTCAAATTCATCTGGTACATGGAATACTCACACCGTATGTGGGGACGGCTTGTTGGATTGGCTTACATCCTTCCAGCAGCTTACTTTTGGAGGAAAGGCTACCTGAACCGGTCCCTGAAGGGTCGTGTCCTTGCCCTCTGTGGTCTCGTGTGCTTCCAGGTGAGAAAGGACTCTAAAACCTTGAAATCGTTGAACGACTATTGGTGTACCCCAAAGAACTTAGACAGCTGCTTTTAGTCTCTTTTGACACTGATTCTATTTTAAGAGGGGAAAAAGAGGCATACAAATATTATAATTAGAATAAAAATTAGGTAAGGCATGAAAGCTTAAACAGCTGATACTCATTTTCAGGTGATGTGACAGTGGCGATACCCTGTAGCCCTGACAATGCTCTATATGAAATGGGGTAGGTCGTACCTCTAATTCTTCTGCTGTTTTTGGCAGGGCCTCTTGGGCTGGTACATGGTAAAGAGTGGGCTGGAGGAAAAGCCGGACTCCCATGACATCCCTCGGGTCAGCCAATACCGTCTAGCTGCACACCTGGGATCTGCACTCGTTCTTTATTGCTATAGCCTGTGGACTGGACTATCACTACTACTACCACAGCACAAGGTGTGTAAAACTGGAGAACCTAGGTGAGTAGAGAACGTGCTGGTGGTTCTCTATCTCTTAACCACAGGGTTAAGGCAAGAGAAGAAATTGGGTCCAATTATCTTGCCATGCTCCTGTGGGAATGTGATTCTGATAGTTTATTGGTTTAATAGCAAGATCGAACTGATGAGGTAGAGTAAGAAATCCTAATAGTTTCTGTTTAAAAAGGCTGGATTGATTCATAGATATGCCACACAATAGTTATCTTAAGAGAGCAGAAAGGGTAGTTTTTAATGCTAATAGTGAAACACAGATCTTCATTTGTGGCCAAGGATCTGTTGGAGAGGCCTGTGTCCCGAGCAAATGGAACATATTCACTGTAATCCTGTGCATGCCAAGTTTGAACTTGGATATGTTGAATTCATTAAGGCTCCTCAATGGGAAAAGTGTATTGGATTGCAGCCTTATTGGCTTTGCTCATCCRCATAGAATGTAAATTAAGTGGTTTTTATCTATCCCTTTAACTCGCTCTCTGCTTGTATTTTGACAGTTACCTGAAACTCGCCATCTTCTACATCTAAGAAGATTTGCTCATGGAACAGCAGGTCTTATCTTTCTTACTGCTTTGTCAGGTAAAGGTCTCCCTTATTAATAAAGCTGTTTGTGTTTGTAACTTTTTAAAATGTATAGACTTACCAACTAATACAACCCTTCATTCAGTTAAAATTGAATAARAATCAATATCTGTAAGAAAATGTACACCTCATATTCCTTATAACAAATAAAGAATGATTTTATCTTGTTTCTTTGGGAGGTGGCCAGGAAACCCCCATGAACAGTGCACGGGTGCTTCAGGTCCCAGGGAAGTTCTCACATTTTCGATTTAATAGGTCCTTCAATTTCTCTCCCTGAAGGCCAGTACATCAAACTGGAAACTGCTATGTGGTCTTGGGGTGGGGGGTAACTTTAAAAACCAGTAATTACTACTGCTAGTGTTACTTCATGCATACTTAAGCCTCTCTTCTCTTGAAATTACAGGGGCATTTGTAGCAGGACTAGATGCTGGACTTGTATACAATTCCTTTCCCAAGATGGGGGAATCTTGGATTCCTGATGATCTCCTTGCCTTTTCACCAATGCTGAAGAATGCATTTGAGAATCCCACAACTGTACAGTTTGATCATAGAATTCTGGTATGTGATCTTCTTTGTTAGTAAGCTTTTCCCAATTTTGTTCTGGATGACAAATAACCTGGGGGTGTAGGAGAATTGATATGTCAGGGTGGAACATACTGTATGGACAGCTAATATATTATTTTCAGTCCCTATTATATTTAGTTGAAGCAGGGGTAAGCATGTTGATGTGCACCTCCCATCTGTCCTAACCAACACAGATAATGGTGAGGAATGCTGCAAATTGCAGTTCAGCAACATCTTGAGAGTTGCACATTCCCTATCTCTGAAATAAAGGCTGTCAAACAGTTGGCGATAAAGATAATCTTTATTTAAGGTTAAAAGAATAGTGACACTACTCTACAAATTACTTTGTTCCTGAAAATATGCTTATATTATTATTATTATTGTTGTTGTTGTTGTTGTTGTTGTTGTAGAATAATTAAAGGACAACTTAGTGGAGGATACTGATTGCAGCTAAAGCCTATATTGAGTCATATATTGTAGAGAATATTGGGAATATGTATTAACCTGCCTGATGTTGAAGAAATGTGGAATTAGAAATATTATACTGTGTAAAATATGGATCTTTGTATCTAATGCTAATCCCATGTCCCCATTGAAGTCTGCTTAGGAGCTCTGCTAACCCTTTTGCATTCCTTCATTGAGTGCTTTCTCTTTTTCTTTTAGGGAGTTTCTTCTGTCACCGCCATCACAGCACTGTACCTGTTTTCCAGGAAAATTCCTCTCCCCCGGAGGACTAAAATGGCAGTTACTTCCTTACTGGCTGTTGCATATCTCCAGGTACTGACTGTGCTTTTAACTGTCCAAAGGCAAATAGTAAGGAAAAGGTTTTCCCCTGACATTACGTCTAGTCATGTCTGACTCTGAGGGTTGGTGCTCATCTCCATTTCTAAGCCGAAGAACCGGTGTTGTTTGTAGACACCTCCACGGTCATGTGGCTGGCATGACTGCCTGTCTCTATCTGATGGTGTTATCATGGATACCTATCTCAATCACATACAACTAGTGACAAGGATGATATAGTCTTCTTTGCTTAAAGACCAAAGACAAAAATGGAGAAGCAGTAATGCTGTGCAGTGGGAACCTGGGACAGGGGTTGTTTGCTACCCATCCATGCTGCCAATGCTTCCTGGATTTAAATCAAGAAAGTGAATAGGAAATTATTGGAGCCATTTAATTTGCCTGTGTAATGAAGCACAGTGTTTCTAGAGGTGCATTAGTCTTTCAAGTAGCACATTATTCACATTGGAAATACTATGTGTATGTGAGAGCAAGTTTGTGACAATAGCCAGAAGAAGAGGCTTTATTCGGACCATTTATGAAACTGCTTTATCTTGCTCTGTACAAGGATAGAGCAAGGTGGTAATCCTGTGCCCAACCAACCTTTCTTAGACCCTCCAAGACCCTGGGTATCATGAAGTTTTACCTTATTTTCTTTGCCCTCAAATGATGATACGGTCATCTTGGAGGCCTCCAGAACAATAAAAAATAAAACTCAGACCCTGTCACAAAATCAGAAAATACAACTATGAATTTTGGCTGATCTTTATGACCTGGAACAAGGGAAAACAACTGGCTCTTTGCAATGTTGCTCTTCCCTCATAAGTCATTCTTGGATTTTTAATTATTATTTCTTCTGTGTGGTTACAGTATTGTGTGGACTAGGGGTGTGAATCATGCAGTCTTTCAGATCTTGAATTACAGCTGCCAGTATCCCACATCACTGGTTATATTGGCTGGAGCTGATAGGATTTGCAACCTGCAACATCGGAAAGACCACTTCATCCTCATCCTTTGTTAAAGGGGCTCGCTTCAGGAATGCATGCTGCTTTTCCTTTTGATATGTCACTGATACTTCTCTTCTTGCTCCTTTGCAGGTCACTTTGGGCATCAGCACACTACTTTTATATGTCCCAACACCTTTAGCAGCCACTCATCAATCGGGTTCCTTGGTATTGCTCAGTGTGGCTCTTTGGCTGATGCATGAACTCAGGCGAATCCCTAAATAGTCCTGTTCTCTTTAGCCAGGTGCTGAGAATTCAGTTGCTGCCTTGCTACGTATGCTGTGAGTTTCTTCCTGAAGGCCTTGAACATAAATAGAAAAGAAATATAGAGAAGAGCAGGACTTTAGCATCCAGATATGGAGGACTTTATTGCAGCATTTGATGAGCAGGGCCATCATTAGTTGAAATATCTTTTGATAAGGTGTAAGGCTTTTAAGACTGTACCTGTGGCAGAAACTACCGATGTTTCAGGCATAGCTTAGATTGTACTGGGACATTTCTCTGAAGACACTGCTATGATCTAATTTTTGTAGTGTGTTTGGACCAAGACTAGGAGACCTATAGCACCCTAGGTGCCCACCCTTGAGCTGCGGCTTTGATCCCTGTGCTAACTGAAAACTGAGATGCAGTATGTCAATATCTGGATTAGATTCTGTTTAACTATATTTTAGAGTAGTGGGGCAGGCAAGCTTTATATCATGGATTTTCTGTAACAGTATGCCCCATAGTTTCATTGTGGAATTGTAATATATGAATATTGAAAAATATGCTATACTGTAATGCAGTTGTTGTACATACCTTTATTTAATAAAAAAGCTTCTACATTAATTGTGTTTGTCCATTGTTCTTATATCCCCCTTATGCAGCTTTCCTTATGACTAAAGAAAAAATCTACCGTATTTTCCGGAATACAAGAGACTGGGGGTATAAGACGACCCCCAAATTTTAAAGATAAAATACAGAGTTAGGAATATATTCACTGTTTAAGATTACCCCTCTTCCAACACTATGCCCCCGCAGCCCCCACTACTCTCCTTTCAAGGACCTCCTCCACCCTCGCTGGTCACCGCCTCCAAAGGCCACTGGGCTTGCCTAGGCCCAAGAAGTGCCTCTGGATGACAACTTTCAGCAGCCCTGGGCATTCTGGGAGCTGTAGTTCCCTGATCCTACTGCTCCCAAAATGCCTCAGTGAGCACATCCAAGTCATGCCGTCGTCCAGGGTTGCTGGGAGTCGTCATCTGGAGGTGCAAGGAAGTGCCTCTGGACGACTCCCAGAAGCCCCAGGCAGTGGTGTGCCTTGGATGTGCTCGCTGAGGCATTCTGAGAACTATGGCTCTCAGAATGCCTCAAAGAACATATCCAAGGCATGCCGCTGCTGGAAGTCGTCATCTGGAGGCACTTCCTTGGGCCTAGGCAAGCCCAGTGGCCTTTGGAGGAGGTGAGCGGCGAGGCCGGAGGAGGTCCTTGAAAGAGCGGGGAGAGAAACAGGGACCGCAGAGAAAGCCCAGCAGGTCATCACCCCCAGCCAGTCTCTGTGGCAATGCAACCTGCCACTTTTCCTCCCCATGCCCTCCTCCTCTCTCCCTCCTTCTTCTTCAGACCACGCCACTAAGGGAGATTTTATTCTTTTCTTTTAATTATTATTATTTTAATTTATATCCGGCGTACTAGACAACCCCCGACTTTTCATAAGATTTTCCAGCGTTAAAAAGTTGTCTAGTACGCCGGAAAATACAATGGTATGAGGCAGGGCTGGTTTAAATGGTTTTGTGCCTGAGACAAAGCAGGGAATTCCCACTGCATAACTTTTACTATATGTGTACGTGTTTTCAAATTGCCCATCAGTTTAGAACGACCCCATGAATTTTATAGGGTTACCAGTTTCTCCCTTTGAAATACAGCCCCCAGTGGCACTAGAGCGGACGTGGTTTTTTAAAAAAAGGAAATTTCAGAGATGTCCCCAATGCCCATATGTCCTGATTTACTGCCATATTGGCCTAATTCTGCAGTAGGCCTATGTTTACAGAAAATGCTGATTGTTTGAGAAATCAGTGCTCCAGAGAAGAAGTTACTATTCAAGGATAACAGCACATCCGGACAAAACCAGCTAGCGGTTAGAACCCGAAGTTTCCCAGTTGCTCTGGAGCCATGTTTGCAATAGACTAACAGATAAAATATAGCCATTGTCAGATAACAATAGACTATAGTTGTATTATAGTTGTGCCATTGTTAGGATCCCACGTGTGCTATTACGAGGGTTGAATGAAAAGTCATGCCTCCACCTTCGTAACTCCTCAACAGATGGCAGTACTGGTATGTGGCAGGTACTGGCTTGTTCAGTAGACTCCTCTACAGTTCTAGTTTGGCGAGAAGCCTTAGCATTGAACGGCTGTGTTGCTAAAGTGCGAAGTATGGAACCCTGCACAGACGGTCAATGCGACTTAAGCAGCGTGCAGTCATTGAATTCTTGACAGCAGAAGGTGTCACCCCAAAGGAGAGCATGCAAGCTGTTTATGAGGATTGTACTGATGTGAGTACTGTGCGTCGTTGGGCGAGTAAATTTAAAGTTGTTGAGGTGGGAACATCTGAGTTGCATGACAAAGAGTTGGACGTCCTTTGACAGCAACCACCGAGTTTCACAAGGAAAAGTTTGACAGATTGATTCAGGAGGATCGTCGTATCACTCAGAGAGAAATTTCAAGCATAATTGGCATTTCACAAGAATGTGTGGGTCACATTATAAATAACCAATGAGCAACTGTATAGCTAGCTTAGACCAATAAAGTGATTTGTCTTTGGAAACCAATGTGTATTTGATTTACTGCCAGAAATGATTAAAACCCTGCTGCCCTATTGGGGGTTGCGACAAACCCTTTGATTGCACTCCCGTATGTTTGTTTGTCGTTATTGCTATGGCCACACAATAAATAGGTTTTTTGCAGTTTAAAAGATTCAACTTTTGTGGTGTTCTTCCTTGCCCTCCCTATTGGAAAAGGGGCTCCTGCTTTTTGGGAAATATTTTGGTTTCTTTGCCCCTACAACACAATGGGTTACACCCTTGTGCCAGCTGAAATGTTGACCAAAAGGTTGGCGGTTCAAATCTGGGGAGCGGGGTGAGCTCCATCTGTCAGCTCCAGCTTCCCTTGTGGGGAACATGAAGAAGCCTCCCACAAGATGGTAAAACATACAGGTGTCCCCTGAGACGGCCAATTCTCTCACAACAGAAGCAACTTTTTTCCTGATACAAAAAAACCCTAAAACTCCTGCGATTTGTTGTTGGTCTCTCATCTAAGTACAAATCAAGGTTGACCCTGCTTGGCTTTTAGATACAGCAGATATCACCAGTGGTCTTATTCTGGGCAATGCAAATATACAGACAACAAATTACATAACGTGGGGAATTCTGGGAACTGTAGTCCAAGCTCCTGCCCTCTATCCTCTCCTTCCCATCAGGGAATCTTCTCAAGAAAGGAAAGAGGAAGGAACAGGCGCTAGCCAATCAGAGTGGCTCTTGCGTAGGTTGCCTCGGCAGCGGCAACTCAAGAGGCCAATGAGAGCGCGAGGGAAGGAAGGGGGCGGAGCCTCGTGTCCCAGCTGTCAGTCGCTCGCTCGGCTTCTCGGCTCCGTCGCTTCCCGGTCCGTGTGTCAAGATGACGGCGCACAGCTTTGCGCTGCCGGTGATCCTCTTCTCCATCTTCTGGGGCCTCGTGGGCTTCGCGGGGCCGTGGCTCGTGCCGAAGGGGCCCAACCGTGGGTGAGGCGCCCCTTCCTTAAAATCCGCGCGCGTCGATTCGGGGGGGGGGGGCAGATTGTTCCCGGTGCAAAGCCTTAATGCCCTTCTCTCACCCCCCCCCCCCGCCTCAAAATGGTCCCGTCTAGCTGGGAATGAGGATGCCTATTGCGCAGACGCAAGAAAATGGGCTGAACCATCTCAGCCGGCCGCAGGGGGAAATCACATCCTTTGAACTTCCCCTTAATTTAGATTTCTGAGGAAGGAAAGGGCTAAATCACTTCTGAACGCCTCCCTATCACGGGTTGTTACAGCCACAGCTTGAAACTACTGCATTATTGTTATTATTTAAACAATTCCCAAAAGCAAGCCTTGATTTTGCCATTTTATGATAAGAGACACCATTTTGCTTGTATATTTCCATTTTGCTTGTATATTTCTCTTGTCCTAAATTGAAGGCCTAACCGTACTGTTCGTCCTTTTTGGGCTCCTCTCAAATACATTTTTTTCTACTCCTACCCCATCCAGGGTTTTATCATTTTATCCTGTCCATTTGGCCTGCCCATTGTGTTTGATTTTCTGTTATTCTATTTTGCTTTGTTTATTTTGCCTCTGTATGTACTTTATTGTGATGTGATTTTTGTTATTGTATTTTGCTGTATTTTATATTTGGGCCTCATGTTAGCCACCCCGAGTTCCCTTCGGGGAGATGGTGGCAGGGTAAAAATAAAGGTTATTGTTATTATTGACACAAAAGCACAGTATGTCACAGCAAACGAGATCTATTTGCTGGCTTTCATATCACAAAATCACAAGTCAAACACTTCCCAAGTGTCTAGGGCTGTGTGATGTATGCTGCTGCTGCTGCTGTTGTTGTTATTATTATTATTGAACTTGATTTGGGTATCCCTGATGGACTTGAGATCAAGTCCTAGTGGATAACCAAGCCAGTGACCTCAATAGGATCACCATAAATTGACAAGTGAATTGAATGCACGCATACATTTAAAAACCCTGTGGCTAGAAAACCAGGCCTCACCTGGAGTGCTGGGTTCAGTTCAAGGTGCCTCGTTTGGAGGACATTGACAAATTGGGAGGGATAGCCAATACTCCAGAAGATAGGAGCAGAATTCAAAACCATCTTAACAGATTAGAGAGATTGGCCAAAACTTACAAAATGAAGTTCAACAGGGACAAATGCAAGATACTCCACTTAGGCAGAAAAAATGAGATGCAAAGATACAGAATGAGAGCAGAATGAGAGCAGTGCGTGTGAAAAAGAAGCCCAAGAGCAGTACGTGTGAAAAAGATCTTAGAGTCCTCATTGACAACAAGTTAAACATGAGCCAACAATGTCATGCAGTGGCAAAAAATGCCAATGGGATTTTGGCCTGCATCAATAGGAGTAGTGTCTAGATCTAGGGAAGTCATGCTACCCTTCTAGTCTGCCTTTGTCAGACCACATCTGGAATACTGTGTCTAATTCTGGGCACCACAATTTAAGGGTAGATGTTGACAAGCTGGAATTTGTCCAGAGGAGGGCGACTCCTCCAGATCAAGGATCTGGAGAACAAGATGTATGAGGAGTGGCTCAAAGAGCTATGTTTAGCTGGCAGAAGAGAAGGCTGAGAGGAGACATGATGGCCATGTATAAGTATGTGAGAGGAAGTTATAGGGAGGAGGGAGCAGGCTTTTTTTCTGCTGCTCYGGAGACTAGGCTGCGGAATGGCTTCAAACGACAAGAAAGGAGATTCCATCTGAACATTAGGAAGAACTTGCTGACTGTGAGAGCTGTTCAGCAGTGGAACTCTCTGCCCTGGAGTGTGATGGAGGCTCCTTCTTTGGAGGCTTTTAAACAGAGGCTGGATAGTYATCAGTCGGGGGTGCTTTGAATGCAATTTTCCTGCTTCTTGGCAGGGAGTTGGACTGGGTGGCCCACAAGATCTCTTCCAACTTTATGATTCTATGATTCTAAATTGGATCAGGTTCAGAAAAGGGCAAGGAGAGCAATCAGCAATATGAAGAAGAAAACGCATAAGGAAAGATTGAAGGAAAGACTGACGCAGTTGCACTCTTTAAATCCCTCAAGGGCTGTCACAGAGAGGAGGGAGCAAGTCATAGAGAGTAGTTTGGCTAGATCTATTGGTTTGAAGTTAGAGGAGAGTAGATTTTGGTTGAACATTAGAAGGAACTGATATTACGAGTGGTTTGTTGCTACATCCTTCTCCTGGACATCTTAATGAAGAGACTGGACAGCAATCTTCTGGCAATGCTTTAGCTGGCAATTCTGAATTAAGCAAAGGGTTGGACTACATAGTCTGTGAGTTCCCCACCAATTCTGGTGCTATGACTAAATCCCTTGTGCCACCTGCACATGAAAACTCTCAGTGCCACTCCATCCCAACAAATCCTTGTCTGGGTTGCTGTGTTTTCCGGGCTGTATGGCCATGTTCCAGAAGCATTCTCCGCCCATATCTATGGCAGGCATCCTCAGAGGTTGTGAGGTCTGTTGGAAACTAGGCAAGTGAGGTTTATGTATGTGTGGGAGAAAGAACTATTGTCTGAGGCAAGTGTGAATGCAGCAATTGATCACCTTGATTAGCATTGAATAGATTTGCAGCTTCAAGGCTTGGCTGCTTCCTAATTGCTTCATTAACTGAGCATGTTTTGTTTTTCGCTGCAGAGTGATTATTACCATGTTGGTGACCACAGCTGTTTGCTGCTACCTCTTGTGAGTACCAATATATCGCTGGGTGGATAGGGTGGGAGAGAACTGGAGGAGCTAAAGCAGGCATGGACAAACTTGGGCCCTCCAGATGTTTTAGACTTCAACTCCCATAATTCCTAACAGCCGGCAGGCTGAAGTTTGTCCATTCCTAAGTTAGAGGACGATCACCAAGAGATTGCCTACCTGCAACGTTACCAGTGACTCAAGCACAGTAACACAACACTTGCCAATTCCTGGATATTGGCAGCATAGAAAGCAATCCAGCACAAATAGCAAGAAATTAATAGTCTCTGTTAAAAACATCTCTTTCCCAAAAACAAGCTATGTGGTCCCTAATCGTCCAGCTCTGCCATGCTACAAGATTACGGTCCAAGAAGCACATTCTTGGGTCCAAAATACAGAATAATTTTTAACACGCATTCATATATGAATAAGGAATTCCCATAAGACACAATGGACCACCCCATGCATCTTTATACTAGCCAGATCAATAAGACAGAACACGCTGTTTGTCTCAAAGCTTTCTTAGTAAGATGCTCTCGTGTCTATTTCCTTGGGAGTACACTTTAAGGAGGGGTGTTGTACTCCAAAACAAACTAACACCTTCCTAACCCATATACCCTTACCACAGTGATCCTGGGATATTATTCCATATATACGGACAACAGTGACATCTTCGGATTTTTCAGCTGTGGTGCAAAAGCAGTTGCAAAACAGCTCATATATCAGTTTTCAATCTCTCACTCTTTTTTATAGCTGGCTTATAGCAATCCTGGCCCAAGCTAACCCATTGTTTGGACCCCAGCTGAAGAATGAGACCATCTGGTATGTGCGCTTCTTGTGGGAGTGACTTGGATGGCTACAGATGCAACAGGTACAAAACTTCACAAGCATGTATATTTATAAATGTGTTTAAACCTGTCTTGCCCATATGCAGAGTGCTAGTTGTGGCTTGAACAGTGAAAAGGAATAGGACTGCTTCTGGACACAAATGGTCCCACTGCCTAGTTCTTTACTTCCCCAAACATCTTGCTATTGAAAGAGCTGGTAACCTGTCAGTAGCTCAGCCAAGAGGACAGAAACTCATTTCAAATAACATTAACTGTTACAACTTAGTAGCTCCGTAGGACAGGTCTCTTTTCTTTCAGTCTGTGTAGTTAGCTGTATCTGTCCCAGGAGAAGTGCAACAGGCAGATTTGCAACAGATTTGCACTAAAAACTATTTTCTCTCTTTCTTCTTCCATGCTTTCCTCTAGACTTTCTTCGGATGCTAGATGCAACTCACCCCTTGATTCTTCTGTTATAACCTCAATACATGTCGAACTAAACAACCCCAAATGTCCCAATAGCAATAGGGCCAAAATCCATTTTATACCATGGACCATAATGGGACTTTCTTGGCAGAGGAGGGAAATATTTACATCCTGAAAGTCCTGTAATCCTGGTATTAAATCTGTGCTGATGGAGCCCTGTTGTGTCCCCTTTGCTAAGAGACAAAGCACTTTCCTTACTCTGTAAGGGACCATTTTATACAATGGACCACCCTTTTCCTATTCTATGTACACAGCTTACGATGTTTTACTCCTACTGTTAAATCATCCATAATGGGACTCCCTTGGCAGATGAGGAAAATGTTTACTTCCTGAAAGTCCTGTTATCAATCCTGGTATTAAATCTGTGCTGATGGAGCTCTGTTGTATCCCCTCTGCTAAGAAACAAAGCACTTTCCTTACTCTGTAAAAAGTTGTTGTGATCCCACTCTGTGTTTGGTCTGTAAATGTCAAGGCTGTTGTGGCAAGGTGCACAATGCCTCTTCCTCTTTGTTGATTACATGTATATAGCTGTTGTAAACTTGTACTGTGAAAATAAAATTTTAATATGTAATCTTTCCTTGCCTGCTGTCAATAAGTCTAAGCAAGCCTCAAACATAATGAAGGTAAGAATGGGCAGTGATGAAGGGTGATGGAAGTTGCAATATTTGGTAGAAACTGCCACTTTATTCATCCCTGGGGTTAAAGCTGATAGAAATTGCAATCTGCCAGTACCTGGAGAGGAAAATATTCCTCAAATCTAAATACTTTTGAGAATTATTTGAGCCCTAGATTGCATAAACGTCCTGGTCATAAATGTAAAAACTGGAGTGCAACACATGCAGGAGATAGTTGGAGGAGGCTCATTTTAATAGCAGCATAAAGTAGGACCTGAGTGCTTTACTAAGATACCAGGATTCCTATCCCTGGTCAAATATGGAAACCCACTCAGCAGCCTTCGGCAAATTACACTCTCTGAGCCAAGAGGAAGACAATAGTAAATCTCTGAATCAATTTTGCTAAGAAAATTCTATGTCAGGATTGCTGTAAGTCGGAGTCTAAAAGCACATAACAATAAATGCACAAATCAAATTCTGTTTTCCATGGTAGACTTCAATGAAGCTATCTGAGCAAGACACTGCCAATTTTTAGAATAAAAAGAACAGAAAGGAAGCCTCTCTCAAGCTCATTTTTTGAGTCCTCTGCAGTATTGGCAGTTGTAAAGCACACTCTTCCTTTACCGTGGTACCAAATAGATATGGTCTTACTTCAGCACACAGACAAGGAATTATGTCCAATGTAAAACAAGCCTTGGGCGTAAGTCATCAAGAAGTTTTGGCTGTCTGGCTCAACAACATTTATTGCTACAGTAACTGGAATTCAAGTATTAAATACCTTATGGAACATAGTCCGTAATAATTCTGGGCTAAATATCACCAGAAAAACAAAGTGAACATGTTAGAACATTCTGCATTGCAAGGTGGTCTTCAATGGAGTAAGAACTGCTGAAAATCCCCTGTCCTGGGGTTACAATAAAAGGCTGTGTGTAGCATTGGCTCTGAGAAAGAGCCACTGTTCTGTGCAAAAGTCATTTTGGAGTCCCATCACCGATGGGGTAAAAGGGAGAGAGAAAATGGCAATTCCCTTTGCTTTGTTTCTTTCTCCCAGTGAATCCCACAAATATGCATTTGGTCCTTAAAGAAAAATGAAAAGTGAGGGCTATTCCTATAGCAGAACTGAAACACCAAATGAATGCTTCATTCCTTTTTCTGAGAGATGGTATACCCAGCATTTCTCCTTCCCTCCCTGAGTAAATCAAGTGTTCTTTGGTCACTAACTACTATGCTGCATTTTGCCCACTGTGGAGGATGGAAGAGAGTAGCCCTGGTCCTCTCCCTTGCAGCACATGATTATCCCTCATTGCCTGGGACTTCAAACACAGAGGAAACCCAGAAGTTCATCACAATTGTGAAGCTGCATTTCGCAGGGCACAGGGACAACACTCAGTAGATCCCCTTTACCATACTGAACCTGGGGTCAGTCTGGAGTGTTACAGAATTCTGGACTACAAAACATGGGCAGATCACAGCTTTTGGCCTGTTAAAAACACAGTGCCATAGAGTACAGCACTGGAGAGTCCCTGAAGAGGTAGCTCTTTCGTCAGGTGACCAGCTCCTGTGCTGGTAATGGGACCACTTCAGCTAGCCACAGCAGGTCAAGTGAAGTTGTGTGGAGCTGCTCTTGGTGGATGCGGCGCAGACGGAGAAGGTAAAGTCCAATGGCGAGCGTCACTATAAGAATGCAGCCAAAGAAAAGATAGTGGTTGTAGACAAAAGAGAGTCGAAGCCAAGAACTGTGAGCCTGACGAATGCTTTCCTGACGGATATCCCTGGAAAGAGAAAGAAAGATCAGCTGCAGTTGATGAGTTCATCATGATAAAGTTGATGTTGGGTGAGTGGGCTTATTAACAAAAGACCTTCCTCATAAATGTACAGCAGAGTAACTTACTAGCAGCGTGACCCAGCACCAGTAGCTCAAAGTGATAAAAAGGACAAAAACACACAGATCAATGTTATATCGTCCATAGGAGGCTTTTCTTTGTAGTAAAATAATATAGTTGCACTATTTACAATAACTAGGTTTCCATAACACAAATAAACAAATATATAGTAGCTTTACATGCAGCAACCTTGACACACAAGGCGCATAACCTGGGGCTTCTTTCACCAAAGCTTCTCACACAGAGAAAGGTTTACCTCACACTCCTCAAGATGACACTAGCTTTGGACCACTAACTCTAACAGGCTTTGGCCTACCCACTCTCCTCAGGACGACACTGACTCTTAACAGGCTTCGACCTACTCACTCTCCTCAGGATGACACTAGCTTTGGCCCACTGACTCTAATAGGCTTCGGCCTACTCACTCTTCTCAAGATGACACTAGCTTTGGCCCACTGACTCTAACAGGCTTCGGCCTACTCATTCTTTCAATGCTTGACACACATTTTTGTAATCAAAAATACCCAGCTAATTTTTTAATATTTCTGACAGTTTAAAGGTGCCAAGCAGAGATTCAAGAAATAAACACTGAGTTAGCGATGCTTTTCATGACATGACCAATAAGGAGCAAGAAAGCTTCCTTTGTTTTTCTGACTCTGCTTCTTAAGCTTCTGCTGCTTAAGCAGCTGCTGAATAAGAAAAGAGCACAGGGGAAGACAAGCACAGGCCCCTGATGTGTTTTGATTATACTTCCCATCAGCCTCCTCAAGTATGGCCAATGGTCAGCTAATAAGGGCATTGTAGTCCCATAACTTCTGGACAACCATTCAGTGCATATGGGCTTTACTTTTTAAAAAAGCCCAAATAAAAGTTTAAGTGCCATTGAGGATGGGCGAGATAGTCCAATAGTAAGATGCACAAAAGCAGAATGCCTCTTCTGTAGCAAACAACACAAAAATGGCATGTTGGCATTGGGACTACTAAAATAGTAGCTTTTAAGTGGAGGTAGCATCAAGATATAAATACAGATGTAACCATTTTCCCAATGTAGGATTTTGGTCTGTGATTGTCATCTTATAATTTTTTGGACACTGTCTTCTGTCAAGGAAGAATCTATTCATTAAGGATATTCTGTTTCCCTAGAATATAGAAGCACACCAGATACAGATCCTACTTTTTTTCCTTTCCCATACTTCTCTTTTAATAGAGCTGCCTCAGTTTTTGCTTGATCTCTCTGGTTTAATGGCAGGTTCGGATATTGCAATCTAAAGTATTGACTGAAATTGGCTGGTGTCTTCCAGATTTTTTGACCTCACTCCTTTCAGTCTCAGTGAGTCCATGCCCACCTTTTAGATAGCAATTTGCATTACCTGAGTGGTAGGAAACGGGTTTTATATAGAATAGCTCCCAATGTCCACTGCACTTCACGGTCATATACCAACTGAGCTGTACGTAGACCAGAGTAATCCTTGGGAAAATGGAATCCTTCATGCAAGACCTGGTGCATCCATGCAGATTTGAAGCACTGATACCTGGAAGCAAAGCATAAAAGTTCCGTCACACATATGATGAGGACCTGAAACTCATCTGGCTCAGTCAATTCCATTTGGTCCTCTAATGTGGCTAAAGTCTGTACCTGTACCTACATCTGTGGATCTTCTCCAGATGCTGTTGGACTCACAAGTCCCATCAGCCCCAGCTAACATAGATAAAGGCCAGGAATGCTGAGAGGTGTAGCCAAGCAGTGTCTAAAGCAGTGAAGAACATGATGTGGCTTCTCCAGTCCTCACTTCAATTTTACTAGTGATCCAAACCTGGCCAATCACACCAATAAAAGCTTGGTTTTTTTTGGGGGGGGGGGGGGCTTATCTGAGTCCAAAATAGGCTCCAGAGTCCCTGTATCTAAATTGGTCAACTATACTCCCTAGAACAGTGTTTCTCAACCTGAGGATTGGGACCCTTTGTGGGGGAGGGGTCATGAGGTTTCAGAGGGGTCACCAAAACCATCAGAAAACATATATTTCTGATGGTCTTAGGAATCTCTTTGGCAGAGAAGGCTGAAGATTTTCCACTTGTCCTTCTTTTCCATTTTGGAAACAGACAATGAAACCTCCTATACTGTGATTGGCTGGCCTCTCAGCCAAGGGGAGGGCTGTTTCTGAGACCTGCTCAGCCAAGGGGAGGGGAGAGCAGGTGTGCTCGGCACATGGCAGCGTGGTGTGCATGTGCAGGCAAGGGAGAGCGTGTTAGGTTGGAGGGGAGGCTCACGCCAGCGAGTCCCTTCACAGCACGGGGGTTCTGTGTAGGAAGTTTGGCCCAATTATATCATTGGTTAGGTTCAAAATACTCTTTGATTGTAAGTGAACTATAAATCCCAAAAACTACAACTCCTAAATGTCAACGTCGGTGTTCCCCAAACTCCACCAGTGTTCACATTTGGGCATATTGAGTATTCATGCCAAGTTTGGTCCAGATCTGTTATTGTTTGAGTCCACAGTGCTCTCTGGATGTAGGTGAACTACAACTCCTAAGGTCAAGGTTATGTAGTAGCAGCGAAAATAATTTTATGGTTGGGGGTCACCACAACATGAGGAACTGTATTAAGGGTTCCCTAGAAGCTTCTGAAGGTAATTGGTAAAGGGATGTAGGGATCTCTAAACTCTGCAAAAAGGATGCAGTGCCCCTTGAACTTTGGTGGGAGGGTGTCTTGCCCCCTCATCCTGGAAACTGCGTATGCTGGCTAAGTGGGCTGCAGTTTTCTTTCTCAGGTTCTACCAGAAAAGGAAGGAATGGCTTCTTACTTGACACGATGCAGGTCTGCATGGGGTGAGTACAGCTTGTCTCGGAACCTCTGTGTCAGTACTGACCAACTAAGACTGCAATAATCCTGGAATGAAATAAAGGAAGTGTGGGTGGGGTGAGAGGTAAGGCAACCAACACAAAAGTTAGACATTCCAAGAAATATAGTTCTGCAAAAGGAGACCACACAGCCCCCTACTCACCTGAGCAGCACGTGTGAATGTGGGGCTATGATATAATCCTCCCTGGCGCAACACGTCATCGGTGCAGTAATA